TATAACTAATAAAATTACTAGAAAAAAATAATAAAAAAATAAATAACTGAAAATTAGTATTGGTACAACGAAATGGTTCTTTCACAACTTGGGTCAAGTCTTGTGACAGCATTACGTAAAATGACTTCATCTACTGTTGTAGATGAAGAAGTTATTAATACGTTATTAAAAGAGATTGAAACATCATTATTAGGGGAAGATGTCAATCCAATCTTTATTAGACAAATGGTAAATAACATAAAAAAGAAAATTAATTCAGAAGATATTCCTGATGGAATTGACAAAAGAAAGTTAATAAAAGATTCTGTTTTTGAAGAACTTATCAATTTAGTTGATCCAAAAACTGAAGCATTTAAACCCAAGAAAGGAAAAACATGTGTATTAATGATGGTTGGTTTACAAGGAGCAGGTAAAACTACTACTATTACAAAACTTGCGTTGTATTATAAAAATCGAGGATATAAACCAGCTGTTGTTGGAGCAGATACATTTAGAGCAGGAGCATATGAACAATTACAAATGAATGCTAAACGAGCAGGAGTACCATTCTTTGGAATAAAAGAAGAAAGTGATCCAGTAAAAGTTGCTAGTGAAGGAGTTCGTACATTTAGAAAGGAAAAAAATGATATAATTCTTGTTGATACATCAGGTAGACATAAACAAGATAAAGAGTTATTTAAAGAAATGCAAAGTGTTCGTGATGCAATTAAACCAGATTCAATTATTTTTGTAATGGATGGAGCTATTGGACAAGCAGCATTTGGACAAGCAAAAGCATTTAAAGATGCAGTTGAAGTAGGAAGTGTTATTATAACAAAATTAGATGGACATTCAAATGGAGGAGGAGCATTAAGTGCTGTAGCAGCAACAAAAAGTCCAATTATATTTATTGGAACAGGAGAAAAAGTAAATGAAATAGAAGAATTTGATGCAGAAAGTTTTGTAAGAAAATTACTTGGAATGGGAGATTTAAAAGGAATAGCAAAATTAGCTAAAGACTTTGCAGAAAATGCTGAATATAAAACTATGGTAAAACATCTTCAAGAAGGTACATTAACAGTAAGAGATTGGAAAGAACAATTATCAAATTTACAAAAAATGGGACAATTAGGAAATATAATGCAAATGATTGGATTAAATCATCCAATGTTTCAAGGAGGAAATATTGAAAAAAAGTTTAAAGTCTTTATGGTTATTTTAGATTCTATGACAGATAGAGAATTAGATGGATCAGCTAAAACAATGTTAAATGATGAGAGTAGAATTAGAAGACTTGCACGAGGAAGTGGTAGAGATATAAGAGAAGTTAATGAACTTTTTGAACAAATTAAATTATTCCAACAATGTATTGATAGATTACCTAAAGCTATGAGAGCACAATTAGGAAATTGTAATGCACAACCTAATGAAGCAGCTATGATGCAACAAATGCAAAGAATGCTTCCTAAAGGTGTTAATCAAGCACAATTACAACAATTAATGAAACAAATGAATGCTGCAGGATTAGGAGGAACAGGAAAGAAAGGAAAGAAATAAACAAAATATAAAGTATTACTTTTTGTTGAGAATTCAATTAACACAACTATTTGTTAGATGTTTATTTATTTTTTATTAAATTACAAAATAACTAAAAAAGAATAAACCAAATAATTATTTAATGGGAGCTTCACAAACACGAATAGAGTTTATTGACAATATTTATAAAATGAATAGACTTGATCCTCAAAAAGATAAATTAGTTTTGAAAAATTTATTAAATTATCAAAAATATATGAGAAGAGACTATAATTTTGAATTTAATCATTTAGCATCTTTATATTTCATTGATAAAAAGAAAGAAGGTTATTTTAATAGAGAAGATTTATTAGAATTTACTGGAATGTTTGTCCAATTTAAAATTAAGAATGAATATGATTATCTTAGAAAGTTTCAAGCATATGCTTCAACAGAATTTTGGAAAACTTTACAAGAATCTCAAGGTCAGTATCAAATTACTGAATGGATGTTAAGATTATTTAAAGAAAGTCGTGGTATTAAAATGTTTAGTGGGTCAAAAGAAGTATTTTTTACTTCAGCTAATATTAAAGAAATATATCAAGTACTTCGTGTAGAAGATTTTAGTGGATCTACTGTTGATGAATTTATGAGACTCTTCCAAAAAGTTGCTGAAGATTCGGTTTGTTTTTATTATTTTATTATTTCTATTATAACATTTATTCTCTTACGTGTTTTAGGGACAAATAGAATTAGGAGATTCTCAATTTGATGATGTAGTCCCAGCAATGGTTGTTGCAGAATTTTTTAGGTACTTCTTAGATGAATGCTATTCATATTTACAAAATATCTTATCAACAACTTC